GTACATTTTCTGTGTAATGTTTATGACAAGGTTTTTGTCACAAACAATCTAGATTAAACTCACTTCCTAGATTTAAGACTCATGCTGACATCATTGGATTTATCTTTAAATGGAAATGTCTCACCCTTACTGGATGATCAGTGTACTCCCAATTTGACTTCTTTTGTACTTTCCTTACTGCCATACTGTAAGAGATATTTCAATTGTACTGTAGTCTGTTGTCAAATGTAGGATCAGTCCATTGAGATTAAATCAACTAACCCCGCGGTTCTCAAAGTGTGTGGCGCGACCCACTGGTGGGGAATTGAGACGTGACAGGTGGGGCGCGCCAAGTTCCGGTGTGTGTGTGTGTGTGTTGTGTGAAATGTAGAACGTGTGAGAGCAAACTGTCCTTATAGCTGTATGTTGCCGCTTTTTAGACCAATCAAACCCACAAAGTAATCATTACTAGCCTACATGCAGTCTAATTAAAAGAACATTAGATATGAGAAACATTTCACCTGGAACTGAAGTGCCAAAATAATGATTGACGTGACGTCGGCATATTATTTGTAATAATGTTGTGTGTTGCCAACTCAGCGACCTTGTCGCTATATTTCAGACCCCTCCAGCGACTCTTTTTCAAAAAAGCGACTAGCGACAAATCTAGCGACTTTTGGAGACTCTTACGTGAAAGCACGTATCGTTCCTTTTCTTGTCCTCCAGCGGCAGGTGCTGCCGTGGGGCGCCTCCCCCATCCCCACCCCATTCTCCCCCGCTATTACAGGAGTCCCTCTCAGCGCTGCAGTCAGAGACACAGCATGTTTACCCTCAGCGTCCAGACTGCAAATAAAGCGCACATGCGCTGGGATTGACGGCGCAGGTTGATCATAAATAACTGAATTTGAAATATTTTATCTTAAATAAATAACGGCGTTTGATTCACACAGCAGCATGTTCATGTTGTACCGTGATTTGTAGGCTCCTTGGTGGACCACAAGGGAAAAAAAGAAAACGTTTAAAAAAGTTTAAAAAAAATTGTAACTCCGCCATAGTGTCTCTTTATGGTTCATTTTGCCGGTCACAAACCAGGTAAAGAAGGAGGGTTAGTATTGTAATAAATTAAACATTAATAAAACAAAAATAATAATAATAATAATAAACATTAATGGACAGAAAAAAGTAGCTCTATATTATTTGGGTGTTTTTACTCACTTTTTGTCTCTCTCTAACAACGTTATTTCTCCCACTCCCATCTTAGCTGAACATTGAGCATGACTTGAGAGTGGCATTATCAAGCCTGCAACCCCGTTTTGAGAAACTGTGCAATGCAAAACAGGCTCATTGCAGCCACTAATGCAGGGATAAATAGACCTGTCTTGCCAGATGGATTTCATTTCTTTTCTTTTATTAACAGATTGCAGAGTGGCACTTAAATTTTTTCTATCTTTGAGCTTGATACAAATTTTGACACAGCTGCATTTTTATTTTCTTTATTTTTGAGCTTGCTGTTATTTGATGTAGATAGTTTGTATTTAGATACTACTTGTTACTTCAATAAAATTGGAACATTTTAAGATTGTCGCATATTTCATTAGCATTGTGTTGGGGCGATGGGGACAGGCGGGGCTTGAAAATTCCCCCTTGTCCAAAGTGGGGAATGACAGAAAAAGTTTGAGAACCACTGAACTAACCTAAGAAAACAAATAAAATGGAGAACTAATTAGGCAGTACTTCCAAAAACAAGAGACGTAAAGTAGAACATGATACGGCAGTATCTACTTTTTCTTATGCTTAATTTTCAGTTCTCATTCTTTGAATATCCCTTATTGGTAGTGGTACAATATTTCTAAATAACAAAAAAAAGGTAAAAGATTGCAGGAAGATGAATAGCATATGGGATATAAACCGAGAATTTAAAACACTAAAATGCTTATAAGAATAAACTCATTGCTCAACATTAGAAATACAGAAGTAAAATAAGTCTGTATTACTTTTATGGACATGTTTGAAGTCCACCCTCAGAATATTGAATCAGGAAATCTGAAAATGTATCATAAGAAGACCAAATGGAAGGCAGAAGGAAAAGTGAAGTTTTAATCTTTCCCCGAGGCCTGGGTCAAAATTTAAGTCTGAAATATTCTCGACCTCTACAACCATCAAAGATGTTCTCATTATTCCTCTCTTTTCCTCTTTCCTCCACATTTCCTTCTGCCTCTATCTTCTTCCTTTCCCTCCATCAAACCCCTCACCATTCTCTGCTCTTTGCTGCCAGATGTGTTTCTCTCTGTTCTTAGATGAAACCAGAACTGTGGTTTAATTATTCCTGATCAGAGTTTTGAGCTGTGTGCTATTTGCCACTGCTTTCAGCGTTGAGCATAGTTGCCCCTCTTCAAACCTCATCTACAAATTCACACAATGATGTGAGATGAAACAGGAACTTCAGATGACTTATCATGACACGCATACTTCAAGAGGGATTTCTTTGACATGACAAAACAAAAGTTAAAACTCCGGTCAAGATTGGCTTCGGTGGATGCCAGTATTCCTATCAAGATATAAGGAAAATAATCTAAACTGTTCTTTTTTCATGATTTAATTTACTTACTAAAGGTAAATATTTTCCATGCTGAATAAAAAAAAAGTCTGAAACATTTAAAATAATTATTATTTTTGATTTGTTATTTTGTTTGTTATATTTTGTTAGATTGGTTAAATTGTCATTGTATGTGTGTTCCAAGCTGGGGCTGTTGTAATTGATATATATATCTCTAAATACCCCTTTCACACATAAGCCACAAACATTTACTGGCACCACATATCCAAGTCGAACAAGAATTAGTGCCTTTCACACTTAAAAGATAAGTCCCAAAAAATTACCCACTCAGCTCTTTTTACCCTTAACCAGGCAATGGGGAGGAATAAATTACCTAATCTCACCTGCAGGTGGCAGTAATGCAAGGGATATAGCTTCAACGGATCAATCAAACCTCTAAAGAAGATTTTTCTAAAGACAGTTACGGATTTAGTGCATAATAATAATAAAAAAAAAGAAAATAAAAAAAATCTGAAGTTGTGGGGACCGCGGTAACCAACGGACCTCCGAGGGAAACGGCAGCCAGGGCTAATCCAAACCCGTCTTCAGCAGTGTGAAGGACTGCTGGCCCTGATGGCAAGTTTCTTGTTTTATTTGGCAAAATGTTAATTTGATCTGACTGTGTTAAATATTATTCCCCCACTAAATGAAAAAGGTCAGATTTATTATCTACAGACTATTAATAACAGCTGGTAAAATGCAGCTCCAGACGAGCAGAGTGTGTGTTGACGTCAGAAGTACGCGTCTTTTCCAACTGGCCCATATTTATGCTGTGTGCTCCCCAAGTCCATAATTTCCTGTGCTCTTCTCAAGAACAAACTTGGGGAGGACACTAGTCCGTCCTGGCAGTCTTGTGAATTGCCAAATGGCACATATGTGTCAAACAGCTGATTAGAAAAAAAAAAAGGCTCCTAAAGCTTTTAGTAGCATTATGAAAACTACAGCTGAAAGGCTTTTAACTTCATAAAAAATTATGAATTTTCGTTTTGTCTACTTTGAGCTGCAATTATATTGGAATATATTTCCGAGTATTTAACTCTCTGCAAGGACAGAGAGGAGTTATTTTATTTCCAGATCCTTTTTTGACCAAATGCTTGATAAAATGTCATAATACCAACGTATAGCAGCCGTCAGTTCTGTTGTCACGCTGCAAACATTTAATTTAAACACAGAAATGCGTGCCTTACTCAGCAATGTAATGTTTTTTTTTTCTTTTTCTTTTTTTTCTTTTTTTACACTAAAGCAGTCCTGGTAGATTAACAGGTATGATACTTGGTCTTGACCCAGTAAATTGTGGGTCAGTTTTACCCAGGCAAATCAGTTCTGGCTTTATTCACACAAAGCCAAGACCCACTAAATTATCAGTAAATTACTGGGTAAAGTAAGTTTGAAAGGGACTTAATATTGTAGAGAGAACAGGGTTAGCACTGGTGAAGTGGCAGATGATGATGAGAAAAAAAGAACCTTGGAGAGTATTTGCACTATTAAGGGATCACCCTTGTCAGCCTTAATGATTAAGTGTACTCTGTTACACTGTTTACATTAGTGGCTGTCCAAAGTATGTCCCAGGAGTTATTTTTAGCACTTTAGTGTGCACTAAAGGGTGAAATTTGAAGCAGAGAACATGAGCATCAAGTCCACTTTATTTAGCCGGAACTGTGCACAATCAAGACATTTGAATTTGGGTTACAGTCCTCACAGCAGACAAACCATAGGTCTACGCTTTTCAATGGTTTTCTTTTATTTTTTTCTTCGGTAAAGAGAAAAAAAAAGAAGTAGATTGTGAGTAGTGTAGCTGACTGCTCAGGCTGTCGGGTGACCATTGTGTTCATCAGACAGTCAGCCCCCAAGAAAAAACTGTCTTTCAGGTGGCTGATTTATTTAATAGAACTGTGTTGCCCCAACCTGAAGGTAAAATGTAACAGTTTGTGTTTAGGATGTTTGGGGCCATTAGAGACATTAACTGTCCTTTTCCTGAGTGTGCAAAAGCTGGATGGAGTAGAAGTCAGCCACTATGACCTTAGCTGTAGATCTAATTGCTTGTTGCAGTCTGTATTTTTCCTGTTCTGTTGTTTAACCAAACCCCACAGTGATGGACGTGAGCAAAAATACTGAGTAATGGCAGCTTTAAAGATCTACAATAGGGTTTTTAATTTAATTTGCCTCAAAAAGTACAGTCTCTGTTGAACCTTCCTAAGGTGTGAATGAGAGGGACAGCTCAGGAAAGGAGTAAAGAGAGATGGTTTTATGTTTGAGTTCAGCTACACATAGCTGTATTTTTACATTAATGTGTATCAATGTGTAAGAATTAATGAATATGGTTTATGTTTGAGATCAGAATACAATCTCTGTAAAGGAGCATTGTTTTAAAATGTACCTTAACATGAAGTTTGAATTCACTTTTGAATTCATTTTATTTTATTAGGTGATCCAGATCAACTTTGAGGAGTTTGACCTGGAGATCGCCTATGACACCCTGACTATAGGAGATGGAGGAGAGGTGGGAGATCCCACAACTATACTTCAAGTGTAAGTATTAACTTATCCGCTTTGCATGATTATTCTTTCCTTTTTTATATTTTTATAACTATAATTTAGGTATTGTGGGAAGTAGTGTGCAGGATTATAACTATTTAGAATCTAAACAGACGTAGGATATCAATATGGTAGATTTTAACTGCTGCTTGAATTTTTTTAATAGTTCAGTTTATTTCAAGTCTTGAACTTCTTACATCACAAAACACCAAACATACACATACTTCTTTGACTCTTTGTAGAAATTTTTTTCATTCTAGATTTTGGTTTTAAATTCTATTATTTATGTTCTTTCTTAAATGTTGGCACACTAATGTCCCAAATGTTTCTATTATAATTATTACAGACTAGTAAATGCCTAAAAATGTTAAATTTTAGAGAGGTTTGAAATTATTTTTCTTAGCTTTTAGGTTAATGGTATTTGACTGAAAAGTGCTGACACGTTTTCCAAAACCTTCTGCAAAGCTATGAGTTCCAGTTTATTATGTCTAAGCAATTTATTCATGATTTGAGCCTCAATTGAAAAACTAATTATAACAACGATAATGAAAGTGGGAATTTTTCTGAAATTGTAATTATGATGATAGTGATTAATCAATGATGTGCTTTATGTTACAGTTTATCGGGCAGCTTTGTGCCCGACTTGATTGTCAGTATGACCCACCAGATGTGGTTACACCTCCAATCAGATGAGAGTGTTGGATCTATAGGTTTTAAAATCAACTACAAAGGTAAGAAATCAGAATTTCTGTGTAAAAAAAAAAAAATATATATATATATATATAGAAATATATATATATATATATATATATATATATATATATATATATATATATATATATATATATATATATATATATATATATATATATATATATATATATATATATATATATATATATATATATATATATATATATATATATATATATATATATATATATAGAAATATATATATATATATATATATATATATATATTTTTTTTTTTTTATAGGATTTTCTCGAATCAAACGAGAGCATGATTGTTCCCCTGATTATCTTTTCGAGTTGGACCTCACGATAGCTTTATTATGATCTAGTGCACTAATCCATCTATGGGGTTGATATGCTGAAGTCCGAAATACCTTCCCAGTACCAATATTTTCTAATCCAGAATTATTTTCCCTATTCCAAAATACTTGGACCTACTGGCCAAGCTCATTTATTAGATATCAGTAAGAAGTTACAAAATATACCCATATTGTAATAGCATATTTATTTTGACTATTGACAGGGTCATAAACGATGACCCATTTCCTGTCAGAAACAAACTTTCTGTTTGAATGAAATGTATTTCAAACCTGAGTCTGCCCCTGTAGTAACCATTGGCCTACTTAAAATGTGGATATGATTCTGAAGTATTTATCTATGTTAAAATAATTTGATTTGAGATTCTATTTCTTTTTAACCTCTAACATTTGTTACCACAGCTCTGTTCAACTTCAAACAACTGTGCTTTTATTCCAAGATAAATTCTTTCTTACTGAAATCCATTGAATAATGGCAATATCAATTTCTTCTCAGAGAGAGAAATGTGTTTTTGTTTGGGTAGTGTGGAAATATTTGAAATGAATGCCTAATTAGCAATGGCTGGATATTAATCCTAATATCAGTAGAGAAAAAAGTATTTATCTATAAGGTCAACTTGTCCCTTACTGCACCTAAAATATTTACGTTTATATGTCAATTTCAGTTGGTGGGCAAGATATTGGAGCAGGGGTGGAGATTTGGGGGTTAGTCATTTTCGTTAGCAACATTAAAAAGGGTAAAATTTCCTTTATTTTCCTATATTTTTTTTCATATTTCTGGGCACCTATTAAGGGGTTTTAAAAAAAAAGCTCCACAAAATAAAATGCTAATTGTAATGCTTTTACATTATCTTCATTATATGATCGTTAATCAGAGATTGGTTCGTTTTCCAGCTCAAAATTGAACATAAATATATATTTTTAATTCCGTCTATAAACGTATATAAAATTGAGGTTATCTCGAAACCCTTATTGCTTTGACTTACATCAGTGAGGGTGGTAATTCTTTTTGCAAAAATCTTTCTCAAAGTAGCTTTATGTTTTTGCACACATAATTTAAAAGTGATCCCGGTAATCCCACACATAATCATGGCACAGCAGGAAGCGGGATGATAGTAAGGTAGCTTTAAAATTTAGGAGTCAGATTTGTTGAGTCTGAGAGCTGGTGAGACAATGCCTGGTATTAGGAGCTGAATTTGAGTTCTCTCAAACCCCTGCTGTCAGTGCATCACAATGAGGTTCAACAACATCTGCTTTGATGTCAGTTTGATGTCTGTATTAAACTTAAGTTGCTTTTTTTTAGAAAAAAAAGTGGAAATGCTGAACAAAAGTTTACTATGCATGTTGCTCTGCCAGCATTATAATTATGTTCACCGATTTGTTTCTTCACCAGTGATTTTTTTTTTTTGCTCTTTGATCAATCTTTTTTTGTTCACTTTATACAGTATCTGGTCAGTATTAAACCAACTTTATAAAAAGAAGGCTTTTACCTTAAAAGTGCACTGATTAAAATGATTTGTACATGATTCCAAACATAATAAGAAGATTTTATAACCTAGGATTCACCCAGACATGGAGTTTGTTTAAAAGACTTATTGAAGTGGCTTGTGATGAATGTTAAATTACATTTATTACAACTATAAAAACAGCTACCGGTACATGAATAGAAATACTATCAAATTTGTTTTAGATTTTTTGTTTTTAATGTTTATCTACCCAAAGGATTTATCAAAGGTTCTATTCTTTACTGATAATCAAGTAGTGACTCTGTTACCAGTTTTCATAGTCAAATATGTTTAAACTCCCACCTCATCTCAGTTGATGCAGGCTTGAATTGTATGTGGTGGTAGCATCTCTTAGTGATGTAATTTTGAAACTTGCAATGTTTTACAGAATTGACAGTTGTTACGTCTGTCGTTATTAAAATTGTTTGTAAATGTGTTTAATACTTACATAGTAAGGCTGTGGGTCAGTGGCTTTCGAGTACATTTTTCTTTATTCTTATGAGTTTCATAGGAAAAGCCCTTTAATATTAGGTTTCATTATTGTTTTGTTCCTAATATTTAACCCATTTATAATATATCAATGAATTATTATCTATTATGTTTCAGAATCCTGGTGCATTGAAATGCAAACACTAGAATTTGTCTAAAGATGTTTTTAACAAATAACTACCGGTAGATGAATAATTTGGACTTTCTTACCCATACCCAAAACTGGCTTATAAACATACCCATCAACAGTCAGTTCAAGATACGTCTTTGTTGCATAGCTGGCTTCATCAATAACAAGATTTACTATGATGGTGGTGGTTTTGTGATAATATTTGGTCTTTCTGAGGGAACAAGGGGAACAGGTTAGGTCATATCTGGCTGGTGCATGTGATTGTGCTGTTTAAGCTGCATCCTTGGACCTTGTTTATGAAATATAAACATTATCAGCAGCCTTGCTGCCAATTCACTTGTGCACCATACATTGTTTGTTGTGTTTATTTAGGAGTGCATGTGTATTGGAAAGCTCTTCCATCTCTGAGCCAACGAAGCTCTACCAAAAAGTCACTCACCTCTTTCTCCTAACATTCATCCTCAGTTCCTCTGGCTCTAGGTCTCATTTTTCCTCATTAGACATCTGTCTTTCCACCATCCTCTCATTGCCTTCCTGTCTGTCAGGTTCTCTCTAATGGAGGGTTTTTGGTTCCACACTTTTTCCCTATCTTTATCTCTCGCTCTCACATTTTCTGTTTTAGAAATTCCTTATCCTTAGTGTTGTTTGTCAAATGACCTCCATGGCACCTTTTTTTTCTTCAAACATGCCTGCTATTTATGTGTCCCTATGTTTCTGCTTTTCTCTCAGTCTCTATGTCTGTCTGTCTGTCTGTTTTTTTTTTGTTTTTTTTTGTCATCATTCATTTATTATTAAAGCCAAGGCCACCGAGGAGCCCTTTGACTTAACTCCTGTTTCAGGGGATACAAATTCTTCACAATCCACACAAACACACATAGTTGGTTTTACAGCTTAACAATGATATTACTCTCTCTTATTGTGTCAACTTTTAAGGGACCTGCTTTAACACCTCTTTGTGCTTCTCTTACCCCAACCACTATTTAATTAACCATAATTTGTGTTATTTAGATACCTTACTTTCCTTTTACCCTAAAACCCGAGCAATCTCTTCCTACTGCCACCTTGGCGCTTCATCTGGATTATCTCTACGTTGCTCTCTATGATTGAATATTAAAATATATATGATAGTGTCAGGCATCTTTTTAACACATGTTTGTTTCCGGCCCATGAACTTTCTTGCCCTTGCTAAAGACAAGCATTTGCAACACATAATGCTGCCAGTACGGTGTTACTTCATTATAACAGAGTGGTCAGCATGATCTACAGTGATACCTTTCCATCTCACATTGGAATTTACTTATTGGCCAAAAAAGTTTGGTCATATCTACTGCAGCAAGAAGAATGTCTTCCAAACTGTTGATATTCAATACATGAAGTCTTAAAAATCCGAACAGTTTATTGTTTTTTTTACTGTACTTGTCCCCACTGGGGTTTAGCTTGGCTATTTTTTGTAAGTTTAGACCTATAGTTTAGATATAATTGAGTGCAACTCCTACATCTAAGCAGTGAATCTCTGCACCACCAGATTTGTCAGCTGAGCAAGATTTCCCTCTGTTTAATGCTCTGCTTACCTGGTCTTAGTTTAAGAGAGCAGACAGGTTGCTGCCATATGCTCTTCATGTGTTATTTTTTGTATTAGTTTTTTTTTTTTTTTTTTTCCATATATTCCTTTTGAATAATTTTTATAATTTTCCAACATGTTGTCTGCGATGTCACTTAAGCTGATCAGGCAAAAATAATCTGGTTCAAAATAGCTTCTTTATCTTTGTTTAAGATGATCAAAATAGCCACTAGGCATGCATTATGCAGATTACTGGGTTGGTAATGTTAACTAAAAGAAGCAGGACGCTTTAGGCAATTGCGCTAAATAGTTTCTGTGGAAAAAGGTATACAGTATGTCCCTTTAGTGTGATCTTTGGGATTGTTAATATGCTACACAATTTTCAAACACAAAAAATAAAACAAACCCAAGGGGCAGAGAAGACTATATTAAGCCTGTAACTCAATTTAAATCAAGACACAATTAACATTAAAATGTGAAAACCAAACTTTTTGCTGCTTATATATATATATATATATATGCAGAAGAGAATTATATTTATCTGTAATGATTTTTTTGAATGATTTAGTTGATATTTAAAGGTAAAGCAGAGGATTTTCTTTCATTCTGGCAGAGATGGCAAAAGTACTGACTTTCCGTACTTGAGTAAAAGTACAGATACTCGTGTTAAAAAATACTCTGGTAAAAGTGGAAGTACTGATTAAACTTCTTTACTCAAGTAAAAGTAACAAAGTACAGGCTTATAAATTTACTTAAAGTATAAAAGTAAAAGTAGAAACCACTTTTTTCATGCAGTTGCCTACATTTTAAATGGATGTCTGCCAATAGGACCAGATCACCGTTGTGTTCATTTTCAATCATCTCGTCGTCCATGCTACTATGCTAACGCCACCGCCACCAAGCTGCTATGATTTGCCGCCAATGAATACAGCCGAATCTGTCGATTCATCTTGTAGTGGTGCGTCAAATGCAACGTA